AAGTTTGTGCAAGACTTCCTTTTTAATTATAATTTATATTGTATGTATAAATATGAAAAATACTAAAAATAAGCCAAAATAATTTATTAATAGCATATAGATTTATTATTACATTATTTCTGATTTAAAATCGTGAAAGAAATTTAACCATTTTTATCTTTCAATTTCGACAATCAAAAATTTAATTTTATAGAAATCCCTTTCATTAATTTTTTTATTTCTTTACAATTTATTTCCTTACAAATACATTTTGTCAAAAAATATTCTAATAGTATATCGTTTAAGAAAATATAAAAATTTAAAAAAATGTTGATATATTGATTAATTATAAACAGTAAATTAATTCATTTTGCTCGCTTTCACAATGAAAACTCTCGCAGTGTTATCATTGTTGGACTTTGAAGCACTTTTATGAAAAAAATAATGTTGTAAAATGTCTAAAAGAAATTAAAGAAATATCTAAAGATTTTAAAAACATCTTTGAGAAAGACATTAAAGTTATCCAATTTCGTATTGAAATCTTACATCATCCAGTACTTAGATACGAATTAAAGGCTATAAGTATATGATTCTGGAATTTTAATTTTCTCCATATAACCTAAGCATATAAATAATATAGCAATAGCATAAATAAATAGCAATTATATTATAATTGCATATTAAATTTTAAATTTTGTGCGCTATTTTGATCATCGATAAGCCATTGTAAGATACGCGCCGGTTACTTTATTACATATGCCGGCCGCGCGGCGGCGCCAGCTTCCAATAGCCGAAATTGTCTCGGTGTAAGGCGCGCGGTATGAAATTGATTGGATATAGGGATAGCGCTAACTAGAAACGAAACCGGTTCCATTCCATTCTAGAGCTTGCGAGAGCTTTCCGCCACGTGCTCCATTTCCTGTTCTGCTCCGAAATTCGAGCACTCCATCGAGACGGTCGATGCTCCGAGAGTCGCTTTTGCTCTAAATCTTGTACTTTCGTGATACTTGTGAAATAAAGTGATATTTTGTGTTTTTCATTTCTGACTATTAATTCTGACTATTAATTAATAATTCGTTGTGATTCCTTCTTAGTCTTTGAGAAAACGCTTCGCGAAATGGCCGGTTGACGTGGCCACTCGGCTAAATCGGAGTAATTCTACCGGCGCTTTTTGGAAATCCGTTCGTGCGGCTCCGTAGTAGACCGCATTAAATTGAACGCTTGCTCGTCTCGTGACGAAAAAATTAAAGTTAAAATTTACATAAATATCTTTCAGTATATTATTAAAAATAATCTTATAAAAATTCGCATATTAAAGTTTAGACAATTTATAATATAATACTAATTTAATGAATTCTTATTAGTCTGATATTTTTCTAGACTACATACATATATTTACGACTGTTGATAATATTAGTTTTATTTAAAACTATTTATATTATTATTATTCATGTTTTATTATTCATTCAAATAATACCTATGTAGAAGAAGAATTATAATTTCATAGCAATGCATATAATATATTGTCATAAATATGTTTATGTTTACTTATGAAACATTTGATAATAAATTACATTTAATAATATATTATAAATTATAATTATCAAATACGTGCGACAAAAAATTTATATCAATAGTCGGTAAAATCGATATTTTCTTAATTATTTCTAATCTTTGATAATAAAAATTTATCTAAAATTGATGGTCTTTGATATTAAGTCTGTTCTTTATAAACTAGTGTATTTAAAATGGAATAAACATATTTGAGGCTTGGCGAAAGAGAAACAGAAAATCTTAGTGCAGTTCAATAAAGTGATAAAGAACAAACATCATATGTTTTCTCTATTTCTAGTTTAAATACGTTCCCATTGGCGTTCATAACGTTCGTGAGCATCGTTTGTCCTTATTTAATATTGATAATCAATAAAGGCTGCATTCCATGCGTGCTCTTAGAATTATTTCATCTTTGTTATTGACCAAATATTAAAGAAGAACAAATAATCATGAGCATTACGAGCATTAAGAGTCGGCAAGAGTGACGAGCCAGCTCCAATATAATTTTTCCTGCTAACTTTTAAGTGAAACGCAGCCAAAAATGAAATAATCCTAAGAGCATTATGAATGTTAAATAGAACACACCCTTTGTTGTGCGATTCATAACCTCAAAATGCTCGTCGCCTGACATACATTTTTCTGAGGAGAATCTTGCGGTATAAAGTATAATACTAAAAAGAACACGATAAAAAAATATTAGAAGAATAATCTCTTGAGAGAAATCAATTGTTTTGAAAAAATGTCAACGAGAAGAAAAGCCGACACGCAGGTGCCGGCCGAGGAGAGCGATTTGCTGTCGATTCGGCCTCTTGGTGCAGGCCAAGAGGTCGGCAGGTCGTGTATTATGTTAGAATTTAAGGGGAAGAAAATAATGTTGGACTGCGGCATACACCCGGGTCTTTCGGGAATGGACGCACTCCCGTTCGTCGATCTCGTCGAGGCCGACGAGATCGATCTGTTGTTGATTTCTCATTTTCACTTGGACCATTGCGGTGCCCTGCCCTGGTTTCTGCAAAAGACGAGCTTCAAGGGTCGCTGTTTCATGACGCACGCCACCAAGGCGATTTACCGCTGGCTATTGTCGGACTACATCAAGGTGAGCAACATAGCCACCGAACAGATGCTGTACACCGAGTCCGATCTGGAGACCAGCATGGACAAAATAGAGACTATCAATTTCCACGAAGAGAAGGATGTGTTCGGGATCAAGTTCTGGGCCTATAATGCAGGTCATGTTCTGGGCGCCGCTATGTTCATGATAGAGATCGCTGGTGTGAAGATCCTGTATACAGGAGACTTCAGCCGGCAGGAGGACAGACATTTGATGGCCGCCGAGATTCCAAATATCCATCCTGACGTACTGATTACAGAATCCACTTATGGTACTCACATCCATGAGAAGAGAGAGGATCGAGAGGGTAGATTTACAAATCTTGTACATGAAATTGTCAACAGAGGTGGTAGATGCCTGATACCTGTATTTGCTCTAGGAAGAGCGCAGGAGCTTCTTCTCATTCTGGACGAATATTGGAGTCAACATTCAGAACTGCATGAGATACCAATTTACTATGCTTCCTCCTTGGCAAAGAAGTGTATGGCTGTCTATCAAACATATGTGAATGCCATGAATGATAAAATTCGACGACAGATAGCTATCAATAATCCTTTCGTGTTCAAGCACATCTCAAATTTGAAGGGGATAGATCATTTCGAAGATATTGGTCCATGTGTCGTGATGGCCTCTCCTGGTATGATGCAGAGCGGCTTGTCAAGAGAGCTGTTTGAATCTTGGTGTACAGATGCGAAGAACGGAGTCATAATAGCTGGCTATTGCGTGGAGGGCACGCTGGCCAAGACCATTCTATCGGAACCAGAAGAAATTACAACTATGTCTGGGCAAAAGTTGCCATTGAAAATGTCTGTAGATTACATATCATTTTCCGCCCACACAGATTACCAACAAACATCGGAGTTCATACGTACTTTGAAACCTCCGCACGTGGTGTTGGTGCATGGTGAGCAAAATGAAATGGGTCGATTGAAAGCGGCGTTACAGCGAGAATATGAGGACGATCCCAACACTACCATGGAGATACACAATCCACGAAATACGGTCGCAGTCGAGCTGTATTTTAGAGGTGAGAAGACCGCCAAGGTGATGGGCACTCTGGCAATGGAGACTCCCAGGCCAGGACAGACGTTGTCCGGCGTCCTGGTGAAGAGGAATTTCAATTATCACATGTTGGCTCCGTGTGACCTATCCAAGTATACGGATATGAGTATGAGTCAAGTCATTCAACGGCAGAGTGTATACTTCTCCGCATCGTTGCCCGTACTGAAGCATTTGCTGACGCAGATAGCCGGTACGCTCGAAATCGTAGATGATAAGAAACTGAGGGTGTTCAAGAATGTTGACGTTACAATTGATGGCAAAATCGTCACGATGGAGTGGGTGGCGACGCCGGTGAACGACATGTACGCGGATTCGGTTCTCACCGCAATCTTGCAGGCTGAGCTCATGGACCAATCGCCTAAAGTTTTACCTGCACCTACTAAAATGGACAGGATGCACTTCAAGGAGTGCCTTATAGAGATGCTGCAGGAAATGTTCGGCGAGGATTCTGTGCCCAAGATATTCAAAGGTGAGAAACTCTACGTCACGGTAGATGGTAAGAAGGCGCATATAGACTTATTGAATTTGGAAGTGACCAGCAAGGAGGACGAAACTTTCCAGCAAATAGTGCAAACGGCGGTGACGAAATTGTATCAATCGTTAGCTCCACCCTGCGATGTAATATAGCGCAAATAAACACCATTAATTTATATTCGTAATAAACACCATTTTGTATTGTTAATATATTCTTATTCTTTATAAACAATATTGTCTTGCGTCTTTGTACATATAATTGTAATTCTGTACCTCGTCCACACCACGATCGTATATCATATCATTAACGATAATCATTATGTTAAAAAACAGTATGATAACTGCTAATATTTCATTTTATATATTTTTATTTTTAATGGATAAAGTTTAGATCTCATATTTTTTTTAAGAGCGTTCATTTTCTTTTCTTTTTTACATCGAGAATAAAAAGAATTTTAATAAAAAGAAGAGATATATAAAAAAATATATTAAAAAATTTTTTTTTATTGAAGAGTTTGTTTATAATTTTTTCTCCTTTCTCGATTTTTACGAATAAAAAGATATTAAAAAATCCATTATATAAATTATTTACAATTCGATTATACATTACTTTTCATATTTCTTTTTTATGTGGATGATATACATAAATGGATTGACATAAATACTAAAAATATTTACAATTTATAGAAATATGAAGATAAAGTACTTTTAAATAGTAACATGATTTAAATAGATTTCAATACGATATAAAGTAAAAATATATTAAATAGTTTAAATATTGGTTTTTAAAAATGATAATTAGTGATAATTAGTGCTTCATCAAAAAATACTCCATTTCAACTATTTACAATTTTCATTGATTTTAAATATCTATCACTCGTAAAAATAATATATATAATATAAATTAAGATAAACAATCGAGTATTTACAATTATTATAAAGATAAAAGATAACTACATAAAATATCTATTATTGTATGATCTATAAATAATTTAACCGTGATCAATTATTAAAAAAATATAGAAATATCGATTTAGAAAAAAATACTTAATGCTTGATTAAAAACGCTAAAACTGATAATCACTTAATTCGCCCCATGCGGGTCCAACTCTAATTTTTACTGGCAATGGCACAGTAAGTTGACATACATTTTCCGTTGATTCTTTGATGATAGCAGCAACTTCCTTTAAATCTGCTAAATTTACCTGAAGTAACATCAAAAGATTAGCTATTTTGTATTTTATATCTTATGAAATTTTATAAAACCAAAACTTTATTAATTCAGTAAGTACATAGTAAGTATAAAAAAATTAATGATACTTACTTCATATAATAATTCATCATGTAATTGTAAAACCAAATAACCACCCCTTTGTTGTATATTGCTTCGTAATCTGCGAGTAGCATGCACCTCAGGAAATATCATAGCCGAATCCGGAAAAGAACTTCTTATCCTTTCCTCTATACTTATCATAGCTTTCTTGACTATGTCTGCAGCAGAGCCTTGTACTTTTGTATTTACTGCTTGCCGTTCTGCTTGTGCTATAATCAAACAAGTACATAATTCGTCGAATCATTTATAAAATGCGGATAAATCAATATATGACAACCAACACTCACCTCTTACAGATGATTTTGCGCTTTTTAAATCCGGAAACTGTCTACGTCTTCCGAGTAATGTTGTTATGTACCCATCGCGATGCGCTTCTTCTAATACATCATTTAACCATTTATATATTCCAGAATACGTACTCATAAAAGATTCTAAAAATTCCTGAGCTTCTGGTTCACTTATACACAGATTTTCAGCTAATGACTTCACCCCCATACCGTAAATCATACCATAACATAATTGCTTGGTACGCTGACGCATTTCATTAGTTACCTAGATAATGAATAACAAATTGATTGATAAACGATTAATACATAAATATTCAAAAATAGATAAACAATATATTGGTAAATTTAATAATATATAGAAATTTTTATGACACATTAATCATTGTTTATTATTTTAATACCTCTTCTTCTGTTACATTATTCCATTTGGCAGCAATATTTTTAAAGATATCACCCTGTTGTCTCATAATTTTGCACAGTATCGAATCTTGCGAGAAATGAGTTAAAAGACGTAATTCGAGTTGGCAATAATCGACGGATAGCATTATATTGCCTAGAGCTGGTACAAATGCCATTCTTACGCTTACAACGAGATTATTATCCGCGAAACTAAAATCCTTCGGTACATTTTGCAAATTTGGTTCATGCATTGAGACTCTTCCTGTTACTGTGCAAGTGATACAATTACCATGAATACGAGAATCGTCTTGGCCCAAGTTCAATAACGGATAAATCATCTATAATATAAGCACATTTAAAAATACATTTAATAAAATGTAATCTTAAATTAGAACATAACACAAATTCAAAAGTACAAAAAATGGTTGCTTTAAAAATATCTAATGAATACAATAGAAAAAAATATTAACTTTTTTATAATATAGCAATATATTACATTATAATGAAAAATTAAAAAATTTTTTATTTAAATTACTTTTGTTCTAGTTGCGCTTAATTTTCGCCAAGAAATCACCAAGTTTGATATCGGATTATCACATTTTTCCAAAACAGCCTTGCTTGTACTGATCTTTTTATCTTTATATAATCCTAATACCTATATAAAATATATAAATATTATATATAGTAGTTATATAATATTATATAATATGCGCGCGCGCGCGCGTGTGTGTATATGCATATATATAAAGTTTTAATTTTACAAACCTGGCCAACTTCCTTGGATGACGAAAAATTAAATTTTCTACCTGCCAAATCGAAAGCTTTAATTTCTAAAGATTGCATTTCATTTGAGATAACTGTTGATAATTCTTGTAAAGATTTTAAATTCACACCGATGCCTGATAATTCCATACAAGCTAAAATTGTCATGATTTTCATTTCTATTTCTGAAAATGAATAGAAGCATTAATGGACATTACAAAATAGACATATATTTATGTAATCTCTATTATACCTCTAAATGTATAAAGTAGAGTAGGATTAAGTTCTTCTAATTTATTCATGACATTATCCATCATGTGCCATGTAAGCACAGCTTCTGCTGCTGACCTGAACTCGCCTGGTAAAGAATTTTGCACATCCATCCCGGGGCCCACATTGTAATAAGATTTTGTACGTTTCATTATAAAGTTTCCTTGGGGAAAATACTGCATTACCTGTCCACAATTTATTAATGCAAATATATTAATGCGATTTTAATAATTCAGCATTAATAATCTTGTGTGTGCGCGTATTAATCTAATATTAATAAATTTGCTTTTTTAAATTGATTTTTATTTAACATTAATATTTGTATTATTAATTCTAATTTTTTTCTAAACTATTTTGCACAATTAAAATCTTACGATATCACTGAATTTTGTTTCGAAATCATTAGTGTACAACCAATGGGCAATCACAGGATCAAGAAATCTACACTTGGCGGTGATTCCACAGCACTGATATAAAAGTTTATATACGTCCTTTATTGCGAAACATTTTATGTACAAAGTTGTATCATAAAATAATTCTTTTAATAGAGCCATTTGTTCTTTTCCAGAAACTTTTGATTCTAAAAGAATTATATTTATATTAAAATATATAAAATAATGATAGAATTATATATATATATATATA